TGTCCAATTTCGTGAATGCCTAATATTCCCCAGAACTACTTACTTCGTACAAGTGACATTCGAGTTTATGAAAGCATTTGGGAGTTTTGACGCCTCAGTAAGTCAAATTTTAAGTAGATAGCTCAGCCAGGGGGGGAGCTGTTTCAGTAAATCAATCAACACATCGATTATCATTTATCTTTGTCTTCTCATACTCACTGGACTTAATTTTGAATTCGTTCGCTGTGAAATTAATGATATCAGACACTGCATTTTGATGCTAACGCAATATTGGTTTATGTTTAGTGCTGTAAAATAACGCACACACTTCGATCTTTTCCGAGTTCCACACCGCTTTAACTCTCTCTGACGCAGTTCATCTTGGATTGGTAAAATGACCTTCGATATTGACAGTTTTATCTGTTAGTCCAGTCTTCTAATTTGATGTTAAAAGTGTTAATTTAATTTAAAATACTTTGGTTCATTAAATTAACAAATCATGATCAACTAGCCGACATCATGTGCTTTATTAAAAGTGCATTTCGATAAGACGGTCTAGTCTGTCATAGAGTAGTACAACCGCATGATTCTGTCAGCTATTACAGTGCCAAAGGTCTAACCTATATTTTTATATAGCAATATTTTCAGTCAAGATTTCAATCAGAAAATTTGGAGAAGTGCTTTATGAATGCGCGTGGCTCTTTACTTCTCTCTGGCATCATACACTTTTATTTACTCGCTTCGTACCACTATTACCACCAATAGCATTTAAGAGTAGCACTGATCACTCCCATAACAGAAGGAACAATTTGCCACTTGTACCAAAAAGATCCGTAACCTTGCCCCATTGATCCAATAACTTGCGTAGCATTTACATGTTCGTCTTGATTTATGCTTTGTTTAACTAGACCGATTTCATTGGAACACTATTCAAATACGCGACTAGCAGCATGTTTCCACGTTTGTCGTAATATTTATTCCATAGGAGCACCTGGACAGTAGCTCCGAACTGATCTGCTAATGTTTACAACTTAAATAGTTAAGATCCGTGGTGAACAGACGTCAGTAAAATCTCCTTTATTACCCATTAGGAAATAGTTCTCGGTTTTTCCAACTAGCCAAACACGACCTCGACGTACTGTACTTAGGTGTCAGGTCATTAGTTTGGCACAAGAATTTTGTTTAATAGGCCCACGCTCCCATCGCATTCCATTCTACGTCCTTATTACCTTATTCGTTAAAACACCATAATTTGGCAATTAATTACTTTTTTTTCTGTCAGTAAAATAAACAATTTCATTAAGTAGATTGAAAAAACATTGGCGACCTTCGAATTTTTGATGCGTTTACGGGGGTTAAGTAGGGCAATTGGGCACTTACTAGGTTAAAATTGTCAAAATAGATTACCAAGTAGGCGCTTAACGTGGTCACATGCTGCTCTTACATTGGACAAATTTACTAGAATTAACCCCTCATGAAATCGTGGCCCTGTAAATGGACATCTTCCTTTGCATTGTCGCGTGTCAAAAGGTTTTATGTCTTAAGCAATGCGAACGCGTTTGCCGATCTAGTTTAATAAATTTTGAAGCTGCAAAAAATCACAGAAACGAGTTGCTGTTCCGAAAGGCATGTTCATGAAACTTTAATATGGCTTTGGAACACTACGATATTTTGTGAATGATCTGTTTAGCACATCTGCGTCAACTGTCCGAAGAAGGAACCTGTAAAGAAAGCACAAGTTCTATTAAATTAAACTAAAAAGAAAATAATTGAAGTGGTGGTAGTGAATCGTGTTGATTCACGTCAAACAACCTGGCCGCCGCAGCCTTACACACACGTCCGCCTTTTCACATTGTTCCCATCATTTAAGCGGGATTGCCTGCTCATTCCGTTGTAGAATACCCGAGCCCTAATTCAAAGTAGACTCGTACAACTAAACAGGCTTTATTGACCAATCTCAAGCCAGAACCACAAGTCGGGCGCCGTCAAACCGAGTCCATCACGCTGGCCACGCCGCTCATTTTATACTGCTCCTCATCCGCGTCTTTCTTTGGTTGGCTGCATGTCTTCCTCGCATGCCAATGGATCGCAGAGAGACAAAGGATTGGCTGAAGCTAGCGTGGTACAGCATGTCTGCGCCCTCAGATGTCACCACACACTCCCCCTGCATGTATCACTTCTACGCGATTTATCCATCTGGCCAATCAGCCGTCAGTATTTTCGCTTGTCCATTAAAAAAAAGTCATGCACTACCTCGACTGCACGTAGCCGACAACAAAACTTCGTTGGGCTATGGTGTAGACGGTTGTGCCTCGTCCATTCCAGTCTTCATAATCTCCTCGGGTATCAATGTAGAGTAATTAGGCCAGATTCAAGAGAGTGGTCCCGTCGAGACGTTAAACTCAAGAGAAAATAAATTTGGCCCTCAGCATTCTATTCACATGGATGTTCATCTCTTGAAACCTTTGGTAACGTTCTCTGCTCACCACTTTGACGTCCTACTGGCTAAAATTTGTTCATTCGATTTCCACCAATCGGCTGCAAAACACGCCAGCCAATCACACAGTGACCAGCAGCAGTCTAGTGTTGTAACCAAAAAGACGACAAGTGTTAGTTGTCTGGGGTCGACAAGAAAAGTGACGCCTCCACAATCGACCTCATCTGTGTGTCGATGCTAGCAGTGGGTGTATTAAAAAGACACAAAAAGAGGTGAACTTGAAGGAAATATTTACACTTTTGACTGTTATTTACTTATTTGCAGGCTGTCTAGACTTTTGTCCACACTTAACAACTCAACAATCCGTTCCCGATTGAGGCAATAAGAACACGCATTTTCACTACATCTGGTCATGTTGCCATCTAGTAACCCGAAAGAGACTTACACGTTAGTAAATTGATTTCCAAAAAAAATTTCAATGGACAAATTCGAGGCATGGTAGCTACGATTACATGTAAATCGCTGTTGTTTCAACGTGTTTTGGCTGATGGTAATTAGGCATAACTGGATGGTCATGCATTTTCACCATAACATCTAGTTTAAATTTTGTACCGTGCCTGCCTTGAACGGATTTGAAAAAAGTACTTGTGAAGATGGTTACCAAATTAACTTGGGAGAAAGTTCATTGTAGAATACCAGAACCCTAGCATGAAGAAGACTGCTACAACAGAAAGGGCTTTATTGACCAATCACAAGCCAGAAACGCAAGTGAGGCGTCGTCCACCCGAGTCCATTACGCTGGCTACGCCGCTCATAATATACTGCTCCTCATTCATGTCTTTCTCTGATTGACTGTATATCCTCTTCGCATGCCATTGGATCGCAGAGAAACAGAGGGTTGGCTGAGGCTAGCGTGGTTCAAAACGTCTGCGCCCTCAGACGTCGCTGCTGTACGTTTCCGACCCATGGTATGGTCATGAACAGAGAGAGTAAGACAAAAGGGAGTACTTTAACGAAGGCTGTAACAAGCAACAACCTAATCACAAACAGGCCGGGCTTAAGGGGGAAAACAGGGTCTTTATATATCCTTGTCCTCATCGTCAGCTTCTCCCCTTGGTCCGTTCCGTGGCGCTACAATAAAGACGGAAAACTGGTGAGAGGATGGGCTCTCAGTCCCCGGAGCGTCATTCAGTGCCCGCGTGACGCCACACATCCGGAAGTCGCACCTCCGGTCACATGATGTCTCCAACATGGCGCGTTTCTTACCTTCGACCAATGGATTAACACCAATATGGCTGCTATCTGTCACGCCGCTACACTGCATCAGAGACGTAGTAGGGCACAGACATGCCTCTTTGTTCCTGTCTCAGCCAGTACAAAGACTTTGTGTGATTGAAAGGCATATAAAAAACGTTCAGTGACCAACCAACTCCGATTGAAGGTATTTGACATTTAGTCCAAATATGTGATTGGTCAATACAGCTGACATGTTGATGCATAGGCGTAACGATATGGGTGAGAATGTGAATGTCGAAAACCTGTATATATTGCCAGAACATGCGTGTAATTTACTACAAAAACTTAAAGAATTTGTTACTTTAAATGAAATGATCAATTTCTTATCTCACTTTGTAAATTCAAGTCAGAAAATGAATTCGTCCATCTTGCCTTTTATTATTACGGATTTATGTTCCATCATCCGAGGCGAAAATGTGAATGTGAGCAGTTACCAAAAATTTAATGTCAAAAAATATAACCACTTGAATTACCACCTTTTGAATCTATTTGGTTTACACATTTTCCAATAGCATATGCCAGAAATTATAATATAAGTTAAGAGTTTCGCCTCATTGCTTTTAAAGCAAATAGTTGAAAAAAATATTTTTATGGATCTTAGGCATATTATGTAACAAATTATTGATTTAAATTTGGCTGGTTTGTTTACTACTAATATATCGTCTGACATTGCCCGGGTTTATTTTGTTGTTTCTGGTATATTAGCGACACCTGAAATTCTGAATTCTGAGAATACGTAAAGTTCCATCATGCTAATGCAGTCATGGAAGCTTGTAGAAACCTACAGGATATGTACATGACATCTGTGTTATGCATTATAAAACGTAAAACAGCATTTTGTTTGGCGTTTTAAATTTTAGTTTGAAAGCCGCCAAATATTAATTTAAAGCAGCCATATTTCTCGTGTTAGGTTGTGTGCGTCGTTTCCTTGGTTGTATGTACATAAAACTATACTGGACTCAGTATTTTAATTCTTTTAATCAGGATAAAATTGTAATTATAGTCACGTATTCAGTGGTAGGAAATGGCTCAGTTTGCATATCGTTGTGAAAAGCTCCGGCGCTTTTTAAAAGGTAGGGTTTGCAACATACGGCCGTCAAACAGCTAACTTAATATCCTTAAGTGCCCTTACCTTCATTAGTTAGTGGTACCTGTTCCTCAAATAACCGGGTTTTCCTCTTCAGAAGTTTCGCCGACTACCTGTATGTGGAAATCTCGATTGTTTGGGTCATTGAATGTGTTATTCCACATAATATTAGAATATTTTCTGTTGTTTAGAAAGGACAAAATGGGAAAAACTGCACTTGTATTGCTTGCTGGTGGGGCTGAGGAACTTGAGACTGTCTCTGTTATCGACATTTTGGCGCGTGCCAAGGTATCTTATTCGTTCAATTGTTCTAACTGCCGCAACTAGGTGAAGGTCGTTGTTGCTGGTGTCGCCGGAACTAGCGTCGTTACATGTAGCCGCGGTGCAAAAATTCAGCCTGACGTGGCGCTGGCCGATGTCATGGGCACCGCCTTCGATCTTGTCTACCTTCCTGGCGGCTTGGACGGGATGCATGCCTTAGCAAATGTATCCTTTGCATGTTCCTCATCATGTTCTCTTAGAGTGCTGACGTTGGTAAGCTCCTGAAAGACCAGCACGAGAACAAGCGCTTAATTGCCGCTATTTGTGCCGCTCCCTGCGCGCTGAAAACTCACGGGATTTCCAAGGGCGCCAAAGTCACTAGCTACCCTTCGATGAAAGATCAGTTGCACTGTATGTCAAATTTTGAGCAGCTAACAGCCACTTTTTAGCTTTCTATAAATACACCGAGGAGGATATTGTCGTGGATGGACACATTCTGACAAGTCGCGGACCTGGAACAGCCTCCATGTTTGGCTTAAAACTGGCCGAGATGTTGACTGATCGCGCCACTGCCAAGGCAGTCGCTGATTCCATGCTTATTCCTTACAGCGCCTAACTCATTGTCGGTTTACTCCGGTGACTGTCGTAATATACAAGTTAAATCTGGTAGTTTTATAGCATGTTCGCTTTCCAGCATAAAAATACATCCGGATTTCATGTGAGAATTTTCTACTTATGATGGGGTGGCTCCAGCATCGTCGTGATACTCCTGCTCTGCATAATGGTTATTTTGGTGCAGGTGTAATGTCAGTAAGTAAGCATTTCTCAGGAAAGCCCGACGGGTGATGTGCACTCTGGGCGATCTTTGACTCTTCCCTTGTGTGGCAGGGGAGCTTTAACACTTAGTTGCCTTAAGTGCGTGTAAGACAGTCCACTTGTTGCCATCTAGCGCACCAAGATATCTAATCCAGCCAGCAGTTCAATTTTGAGGGATTGGGTGCCCTTGGTTGCGCACAACGATTGCCAAGGTGATGCCAGCTTGAGAGATCCGCTGCAACACCGATTAGGTAACGCGAGCTTCGCTCCTGCAGTTTTCCATATTGTTTGGCTGCGTGAATTAAATCACTCACCAAAGTCCCTGTTGGGGAATGCATCGAAGTAATTGCTAACGCTGCATGCGAAATCTTAAGCTCATTGAAACGTACCTGCAAGCCCGCAGTTTCAAGTGCCTGCCACCGTGGCAATGTGAACTCCGTTACTGCACGCATCATTGCGTACTTCCTCCTCCCTCTTAATTCAATAAATAGTATTTCGTTTTTAAAACACTACTGGGTCTTTTCAAAACCCCTTTGATAGGCCCTGAGTGTCGCGTAGTAACCGCACACGGCGGTCCAAAATGGAACTAAGGTTAAGCACAATGCGAGCCTTATGTGAGGCGGTGCGTGAGAACGCAAGGATAGTGACTCGTCACGCGAAATTCCTCGGTAGCGGAGTTCGCGAAAGCTGCACACGAACGCCATCAGTCTGTTTTTTGCGACCATGCTCTGTAATCCAAGACCGATTTCAATAAAAAGACAAACGCCATGAAAACATGCATTTGTTTCAATAGAGAAGACAGCCAGACATTGAATGTGTCGTAGGCGACAGTGGTGGTTGGATGGAGGAAGGGGATCACTGGTCACTTGCGGAGACTATTTTGAGCACTTTACCCACACCAATCGTCTTGCCTTCGTCGCGCAGCATGAACCGCCCCATCTGGGCGTAGTCCTTGAAGCATTCTATACAAATTGCGCCGCCCAAGGTCTGAAAGAGCAGCAGGAAATCGCTTGTCATCAATTGTGGGCTTTTAGTGCAGTTATTCTGATAAAAAAAGTGGCCTTACCACTGACAGGTGCTCGTTCAGATCTACTTCCTGTTTACTTATCGCTACATGGGCTTGAAAACATGCTTATACACGCGTACACACAATGCCAACCACTTATCAGGTATTTTCACTACTAAAAGGAGGACTACAACGCAAAAGTAAGAGACGTAATCACTGTCACTGTTCAGGCAACTTCTCATGTCTTGTTTTTTTTTCAAAGACTGGCAATGATAAGGAATTGGTGATTTAAAGTTAGTCTCGACTGCTACTAGAATGCCGTAGCTAACGCCGTTTAAGAGAGAGGTCAATGTAGTTGAATTAAGGATGTTTCGGTCGCTATCCAGTAAAATAATCGCTTTGCCAGGCGCCAGCGGAAACAGAATCTTACCTCGAAGCGCACGATAGCGACGTCGTCCTGCTTGATGAATCGAGGTCGTATGTCGGTCTTCTGGTTGGTCTTTCTGTCGATGCGGCAGATGATTGTTCGAAAGCGCACCTCCTGGACGCATGCGTGGATGTGCATCACAGCCGTGAAACCGGGACAAATGATCGACTTGTAATCGAATATAACCAACTGCACGTCGAACACGCTTGCCACCTGCCAAGGAAAGCGAGCAAGTTAAAAGGTTCTCGGCGCGTTTTGACAAATTCCATTTATGGCTTGAGAGCAGGTCAAGAGACAAAACCACTAACAAAAATAAGACTACACCTCAAACGAGTGAAGTCCCATTCTGTAAAACAGTAAGTGCGTTAAATGAAACCGCAAGTTTGAGAAGCGATTTTTAACCAAACGAAACAATTCTCTGTGTAGGAAACAAGTTCAAAATTAGGTGATGTTAGAATAAATTAGACGATGGGCAGTTAAATGAATTTGTAGGTGAATTTGGTGCAATACTTAGTTTTGAATTCATCAACCATTAAAAGTGCACCCCGAGTAAATTTGACATGAAAGTATAAAGGACAAACTTAACTTCAGAAACAATGGTTAAAAAGAGCACTTACGTGACAGAGGTTATCAGGAGAACAAAGAACAAATCCAGGCGACACATCCTCTTCCTCCACATTTTTTAATTTCAGTTTAACGTTGTCACCGGCTGAGCTGCCTTCAACATCCACATCATCGTTAAGAATCTGTAAAAATATACAACATCCATTTCACTTGAGTCTCGGCAAAATCCATGAAGATTAACTCGATTGGTACCTGGAGGACCTCCACGGAAACCTTATTTGGCATCATGGTGAGAACTTGACCGCGAATGAGCGACCCGGATTCTATTTTTCCCATGACAAAAGTACCCATATCCTTAAAACGATCAGAAATGGGAATTCGGAGGGGACCATCAGTGCACCTGGTGAGAGGTGGAAGCTGGTCGAGGTATTCAAGGAATGTGGGACCATTATACCAGGAGCAGAGATCCGCAGGAGGTCGGTCACGCAGGAAGGCGCCCGTGAATCCAGAACAAGGAATGAAGGTGATGTCCGACTTTACATTGAAACCGAGTTTCTTGAGGAAGGGAATCAGCTTATCACGGCACTCATTGAATCGAGCCTCTTCCCAATTCACAGTCGAATCATCCATCTTATTGATAAGGACAATCATATGTTTCACGCCAGTAGTCTTTACTAGCATAGCGTGCTCTCGCGTCTGTCCACCGCGCTCAAAACCGGTTTCAAATTCACCACGACGGGCAGAAATAACTAACACAGCAATATCAGCAATCGATGCGCCACTGATCATATTGGGGACAAATGATTTATGTCCAGGAGCGTCGACCAATATGAAGTGCTTGTGCTCGGTCTCAAAAAAGGCTCGACCACATTCCACAGTTATGCCTTTGTTGCGTTCCTCCATGCTAGTATCTAGAGCCCAAGAGAGATACCAGGTCTCCCGATTCTTCTCTTTCGCCTCCTTTGCATACTTTTCAAGGGTCCTCGAATCAACCATGCCTATCAAGCCAAATGAATGAAAGTCGACAATTTACCCGTCAGATGGAGCAGATGACCACCGATAGTAGACTTGCCCGCATCGACATGTCCAATGAAGACAACGCTCAGCGCTTCTTTCCTGTCTTTAGGAGGAACATAGGTCTACGAAGATGGTTAACCAGTAATCAATGGTGTACCGTAGGGTGCTGTTTAGGCTCTGGAAGATCTGAAGAAGGCTCCTCAATTTCATCTTTCACTAAATTTTTTTTAAAACGAAGCAATCTGACCGTACCTTCAACAGACTGCTGAGTGTCACCTACAGGTGGCACGTAATCGGTGTTAACATCTGAAACGGGAGGTGGGGGGTTGAGCCACTCTGCAGATGTCTCTACAGCTGTGAAATCATACCGCTGGCCAGGAACAAAAACCGGTGCATTTACGTTTAACTTAGAAAGACCGTCGTTTAATCCCTGCATTGGCTGATCGGCTTCATCCTCCCACGAGGCCATGACTTTCACCACTGGGCCTTGCACACACGATAAGTGATTAACCGTACGATTCCAATTGGCTACATCGGCAATAACAATCACTGATGTGCAATAACGTAGAACAAAAACATTTTCAAAACAACTTTCTTGACTAATTAGGCAAATTAACTTTTACAATCCTAAGTTACTCTAAAGTGAGCTTATTTTTAAATACTATAGTCAAAGGACTCGTTTGATACTCCGCAGTGGCTGCAATTCGATTGATCAAACTGAGTACTTTAAAACGTGGGTTCAGCGAGTATGGAACTTATATAGCTACCTTTTTAACATTGTGTATGTATTTTTTGCATCACTAGAGTAACATCGCATTCATTTTAGGCTCCACAGTGTCCATTTTTATCCTACTAGGCCCGTTGTGTACATTTATTAGGCTGCTTTAAAATGCATGATCTGTTTATTAATATCTTGGGTAGAAAGTAAATTAATTCTTTTTAATTTTTATATGCTACATTAAAGTTATTAAAATAAGTTAGATGAGGATTATTTTTACGAGAAAAGGCATTTTTTCATCCATTGACTTTTCTGAGGCAATTTTATTTCACCAATATTACAATTCGACCGTTAGAGCTGCCAGATAAGGTCAATACACTTATGTTCCATGAATTAAAATAGATTATGATGTATGGAGCCTTAATTATGTCAGCTAGCGCTATGCAAAGAAGTTTAATGGAGTCGCAAAGTGACATCAACACAAAGTCGTCGGGCGAGGATCAAAGAAAAATTCTTAAGTTTTAAAAATTTTATCTTAATGTTCACTGAAATAATTGATAAAAGTTAGTGATTTTCATTTATCAATTTGTTCATAGGAAATACAACGTCAAGGATACATTATGGTATCCAGTTATATTTAACGTTTAAATTTTATGGTCCAAAGACTATTTTTTTTATTCTAACTACTTCTGAGTTCACTTAAAATATGATTTCAACAGCACCAAATTTGATTCATTGCTTATGAATGCATTTAAGCAAATCACTCATGTTCTTAAGCTAAGTGACTGATCAGAAATCTCGTATTTGTCATAGTAAAATGATTTATATATCTATTTTCAGTTTTAGTGAAATTTGAAAATAGGACAAGATTGCCTTTTACAATGTAATTCCATGGTATTTCTTCTACTATTATTAAACAGCATAAGTCATTCGAACTCGAAATTAGTTAGAATACTCCTTTTTACAACTGATTCATCATGTACTAATTCTTAAAGCAGCTGGAGAACAATTATCTATCACGCATTTAAGAATGAGACAAAATTCCAGGCTTCTGACTGCTGGAAGTTGTTACCAAGTTGTACCAACATGATGATGCCTCATTCGATTGTCAAAATGTGTTTTAATATCTTCAAATCTTTGTGCGATATATCGTCTGAAGAGTGTAAGTGACATGTCTAATATCTGAAGTCATCAACGTGATTTTAATGACACATTTATCAGATCAGATAAAGTTTTGCGCTGATTGTGATAAGTGACGCTATGGTTGAAATGAAAAAGCAATTTGATTTAAATTAAGGTATTCGAGTCATTAGGCCTAAAATTTTATCCAACCACTTATCTTTATTTTAAAGGTTTTACAAGGTAGGTCAGCAGTTAGCAAGCTAAAGGGATGGCTGGAATGTAGTGTAGAATACCCGAGCCCTAATAGGAAAAAGACCGGTACAACAGAACAGGCTTTATTGACCAATCAGAAGCCAGAGCCACGCGCCAGGCGCCTTCCATCCGAGTCCACCACGTTGGCCACGCCGCTCATTATATACTGCATCTCATCCATGTCCTGCTCTGGTTGGCTGCCTTCCTTTCCCCCATGCCATTGGATCGCAGAGAGACACGGGATTGGCTGAGGCCAGGTGGTCCAACATGTCTGCGCCCTAATCCGACGCCACAATGGAATCAAATTTACCCCCAATAAGTACCACGTTATCATGCCTTGTCAGTAAATTGGGAGAAAAGATGAACCAATAGGGGGACTAGAGGTTTAGATCAGATTTTCCAAAACGAGATTACAATTATTTTTCTCATCCTAGGTCAGTGTTTATGTTGTGCAAGCATTGGGTCTTGTAACATTATTGGAAAATAATAGCAAGGATTCCAACAAATTTCTAGAACTAAAATAAACTTTTTTTTGATAATTGAAGATCATGTGTCATTAGATCCCATGATTCGCATGCGGGTTAACCTTATGTCAGTCAGTTCTGAATAGTCTGTTTGATCGACGTTAAACGAAAACATCATTTGTATCTTCACCCACAGATCGGTGTATTCATAATGGCTTGATGTTACTGGAAGTCTTAAACATCGCAGTGAAAATTCTTCGTTTGGAGATCAGATAGAATAAGCTTTATTTGTTGACATTGCCAAATCGCGCTGAATCTTCCGATTTGAAAGAACTTATCTTATTCGTTAAAGCACTACAGAGTATTATAAACTAGCATATAACTGTCACCGATGCTAATTTATGTTTGCGAACAGCAGAACACAATATGCCTCCTTTTTATAAGTATTTAAAGTTATTTTCTAGATCTATGCAAAGTACATGGTTCCATTTAAAAAAAGGCCATTTACGGACATTGTTAGCTGCCGTTAAGTCTTGATTGACAAACCACAGATGGTTTTACTGACGAACATTCGAAAAACGAGGGTTGTTTCGAGGTACAGGATTTCACGAGTCCTGTTTTGATGGCTGCCGCATTCGGGAAGTTTTTCCCACAGGCCTGAGCGACTGGTAACCCCCTATGCGGACCAACATCTGGAGACTGTGGTGGGTCAAATAAGACTTTCCAGTCGTGTTTCTTGGGTTTTTCGTGACTGTGTAGTGATTTTTCATCAAACGGGCGCTAGTGAAGCTTATCCACGACTTGATCGAATGTCGTCGATAACAGTTGGCGTTCAAGATGCAAGGCAGTGTGCAAACGACGTCGCAACAGCTGTTTGTGGTCCAGCATTATCGAGGTGCTTCGAGGAGGCATCAGGGGACGCTATTGTCACTAAATGGCATCTCTTTTATTTGAATAGTTAAGTTCCGGGTACAAAACTGTCTCCTTACGAATTTCCATTGTTTCCAAATTTATTGCATCGTAGACTGCAATGTCTGAAGACTTGTCACGGACTGATGGCTTGTTTCCAGGGTTCTAGCTCCTAATTTGGACTTCTTTCGATGAATCTTCCAGTACACTATGCTTACTTTACACTGAAAGGAAGCAGCACATCTCACCAGTACCTTTGCTATTCGGAACAGACCAGTAATCTCATCGCGCGCTTGTTGCCGCAGCAACGGATTATTAACCGCCGGTTCAAATGAACAACTTTTCGTTCAAAACGCCCCACAATGCATGCGGTTTAATCCTTGACCTGGTAATGCGAGAAGGCACCCAACGGCACACGGAAAAGTCGCAATAATTTGTATGGCAGTCAAACACACACACCCCGAAAGCGGTTTATGTAAATAATTATTGCGCACATATACGCTAAGAGTAATTCAACTTTTTTGAACCAATTAAATTGCAGCATTTTTTATTTAGTTAATTGTGCAAAATCAGAGCATGACTAATATTGGACGTGGCTTGGAGATTTGCATACATGGGAATGGAAATGAATTTATGTCAAATCAACCAATCAAAACGCAGAAAAACCATTTAAGGGTTAGTTAATATTGTAAGTGACACTTGCTACCAAGTCTACGGAAAATGTAATGACCAAAAGCAATAAACCCAAAACTGAATGCACATCGTTCGATATTTGACATCCAAAAGAAATTAGTACAAAGCCACTAAATCATTAAGACAAGGAAAAAATTGTGATAACTGGAAGCATAAAACAACAAGGAAGATACGTATCTTTAAACTCTTTATGCAGGTTGCCTGTTAGTGGCGGATTCGAATAGTGCTCCAAAAAGACGTGTATAGTAAAACAAAGAATAAATCGGGGCAGCCGGCGCAGGTACATCAATTACATTAAACCTATCAACCCTAGTCCCTTTAGGGTGCGTTAGCAAAGCAACTTTTGACGTTTCGGAAGCAAATGGGTTAAATCGGCAGACTTTTTGCACGATTTAGCGCATGTCAATTTTTTTTCCAAACAACCATGCAAACAACCAAAGCATTGCACGTAATTTTACAATATTTTCATATTTAGAAAAACACAAAAGTATTGGAACCAAGCAAAATTTCCGAAATAGACCAAACGACGAAAAATTTAGGAAATTATCACGCAAATAGCACTTTTTTCTGCTAAATGGTGATACTTGGGCGCATAAAAATGGCCAAAACATAGGCAATTCATTAATTTAATCTCTCTTTCGGCTTTTAATAATTGTCCTCCATGTTGAAACATTATTTACAAAATTGAGCATTACACCATTCAAGCCATGTCAATGTCGAGGTCAGATCCAAATTCTCAACTGATTGTGGTGAGAAATACCGCGTTTCTCTGAAATGGATCGCCTTTTGTCACAGAGCTATAGGAAAACGAAAATCCGCACGTTGATTTAATTTCCTGTCTTTTGAAAATAGAAGGTGAATTAGGCACGGATCAAGTATTGCAAACGTGGTTATTAAGAAGACCATAATATACCACTTTAAATATCACAGCAGATTGTGGTAAAATTATGTCTGCCAATTGATGATGAGGATTATCAGTACAAATCTGCTTGAAATCAAAAAAACAAAACTCGTCAGATAACAGCATTTTGCCTTTAATGCGGTCTCATTATGAAACAAATCGCAATATTTCGTACAAAAGCAGAGAATTCTTTCCCATAAACTTCGACTTTACGTCCTTGAAGTCTGGTCTTTGACGTCAAAGACGCAACAAAGACCGCAGTCTTAAAACCGTCGGGGTAAATATTACGATGTGTCGGCCACAGCTTCACGTGCAAAATCTCTCCTAGGCGCTGATTGGCTGCCCTACCGGCATGCCAACTGGTGCTTTTGCAACGACCTTGAGTAGTGATTGGCCAGACCTACGGTGGCATGCGTCATACTGCTGAGAGCCCTGCATTTCGCGCACACGCACGCACTCAAACGGCAATCGCGTGCGCGAGCCTCAGCCGGCGTAGACAAAGGGTTAGCAATCGTGGCCTACTCGACGTTTTTCACTGCCCTGGAATTGTGGCAGTGTTTCGAGCGGTTTTGCGATGATTAGTGCGGCTGCTATGCCGACAACTTCAAGTCCAAGTGATCCACCAACCGCGGCGGTACCCGTAAATGTTGATTTTGCGCAAAAGAGGAAGGAAAACGGCAAAATCCTCGATGCAAAGCCACAAGAAAGCACTGCAAAAGTGGATAAGTGGAATTTGCTGAAAGTTCGCGTCGGGTTCGATGTAACCAGAAAGGGTGCGTGAGTCCTCTTTCCTTGTGTATGCGATTTTTTGAAATTTTGATTGGGTATGCTTTTTGGGCTTTTCTTTTTATAGGAATTGGTGCTTTTTATCAATTTGTATAATGTAGTCTTAGTTAAGCCGCATATTCCTTTTTGGAAGGGCCACATTCTTGCGTAGACGGTTGCTCCACATTTGCAACAACGGTGCCATTGTAGTCGCCTTTAAGAAAGCCTGCAAGCTATTTCTCTTAGTTGGTGTAATCTCAAATCACCACTGACTCTTTGTTCGCAGTTTATATTTATACACCTAGAAATGGCGTGCAATTATTTGGTTTTACGACAAATCCGTAATCAGCTCTTGACACCAGAAAAGGCCAATCAACTTAATAAGTTGATGGCTCGGATAGTGGGTAATCTTTTTCAACTACGGGATACTGTCCCAAGTAATGTGGTTGTTTTTGACTTCTTTTGGGGTAAACATTTGAGTTTTACCTGCGACAGGGTGGGTTTGTTTTAATGCCTCCGTGGGATTCCAGATAAACAGTTATTAACAAGTCCCCCTGAGCACAACCGAACGGCACTTGAGGTCAGTAGTAAAGTTCTTAGCATAGCTCCTCACGCCCATCATCCTGGTAATCTTCCTCGATTACTTCACTTGCAGGAGAACGCAGCCTGGTGATTGACGGCTACAAGTTCACCAAGTCGCGCGATGGCATGTCCGATCGTGTGTTTTGGCGGTGTTCCCGGCGTGAGTGCAAGGCAACCGCAGTGACCGTAGGTGGACGGGTGGAACACGTCCGTATCCTGCACACCCACCAACCGCCTACCCCTGGCGAATTCTTCTCCACCGCTGGCGAGACTGCAGCCCACCTTGGACCCGGCGCTGTGTCACGTGACCAAACTGTGCGGCAACACGACACCGGTCGTGTTCGGCGCAGAAGCCATCACCACCTAGGCACTGCCACCGCCACCTCGACGAACGACGCTCCAGACGTGGTGGCTGTAGCCGAAAAGACGGCTGGCGCACATGCACGAGCTGTTGCCGCCATCCTCTCGAATCTCGTTGAATGCAGCAAGACCGAACGGAAACAGCCAGAGACCAATGAAATGGTAGGGGACACCTGCTATCCTTGTTGGCAATTGACACATTCGGTTCCGCAGATTTATTCACCGATCTCATGTTAGGGATGACAAGATAAAAAAAAGATAGGGTTATTCTGTTGTTCGAATAGAGAAGACCTTTTTGACAGAGTAGCACGGAGTTATCCTAGAAGTTATGTGAACTCTGAAGTGAAAATTATTTCTGAACTCGCTAGTCGTCTTGTTTTTATTGTGAATTTCTGTAGGAGACGGTCAACGGCTTCTCTCCGCCGTCTTCGGTGGATAAGCTCCAAGACAGCAGAATTCACACCTCGCAGGAGGTTATCTCAGTCAATCAGCGTCGACGAACGTTCCCACCGGTCTCCTTTGGCGCCGATAATGTTCGCAGTCATTACCAACATCCCAGCGTCGGCGACTTTGATAGCAGAGGCCTCAATGCTCTGGCCGACGCTGCTGTCCACCAATCAAAACGCGACTCACAAAACTCAAGTAGGCGACTTCTGGTTCTTTTACCATAGCGATAGAATGAAGTGCTTACCGGTTCCTTTGAACGTGCCTTCTACTCACCACTGGTGTTTCCATTTAGCTCCAGATCCGCCATTTGAAGCACCTGGTTCTTCTCCACCTCCTCCGCAACAGGCCCCACACCTTCCGCAGTCAACTGAACACGTCCTCTGTCCTTTCCTGACGTCTGAGAAGGATGGGCCTCGTGTCACCGCGACCCCTGTTGGCGGACCGTTTGTCTTCCTTGGAACCCGAGATCTCCCAACCCCTTTCCTCGTCGGCAACAGCTTCAGCGGCGCAGGGACCGCTGATCTCTCCACGCCCGCTGCATCTGCCACCTCAACTTCTTGCCAGATGTAAATATTGCCTCCAACTTGTCTGAGGTCTACAAATCACCTTGATTTTTGTCTTTTTTTGCCTGCAGTGGTCGGTTTAATGAGTCAGAAGACTGACGGGTATCAGGCGACCCTAGTTGTTATGCTTGGTTACTCACAAATTCAATTAAGCCTCACGAAAGGCTGACTCGTTTCTTCGGACACAGACAAGTGGGGTGAGAGGGTTTGTCTGCGAGGTTGTGGCCAGCTCGTGTGAATTGTCAATTCGTCTGCCTTGTGGATTTCTAGTGTGACCATGTTTTCATTGACTTACACTCACCTCTGATAACTGGGTACAATCTCGAGTATAGGCGATAATTGCGCTTCCCTTGAAGGTGTCTCTGTCTTATTTGCGCAGGTCGAGTGTTGTCACTGACAGCGTCAGTGGCATCACCGTCTCCGGACTGCCGTCCACTCCAATGGTGAGTCTTCCTGGTTCGTCTTGCCGTCCGTCTGCGTTGCCAAGCACCGAGTACCAGGAAGTGACACCTCCAGACACCCCAAGTAAGTAGTCTTTACATAAACCAGCTCACCTGCTACAGCGCGTTTGTCGTTGGTCGCTCGTAAAGTGCGAAACATCCTGTTTCAGCAATGTGTGTGAAAAGAAGTAAGAGGAAATCATATTCTCGAAATTTCGAAAGCTTTGTGTGGATGTTTTTTGTGGTGTAACCGAGATCTCTTGTGGCCGGTTTTCGATATTCTACCGCCTAAGTGATGTATGTCATCCGTCGCGAATTGTTTGACGCTCAAAATGCGCAACAAGCTGAAGCTCATCTGCTAGTTATGACGGTGTGCATTTATTGTCTTGTTCGCCTCCGGCGGCAACCCTTAAGAGGTTTTCGCAAATTAACCTTGTACGAGAACACACTTTAACACTAGCTGGTGTTTTTTGCCCAAGTCTGGCGTGCCATGATTGACTTTGCACACTTTCACATGACGCATCCTCGTTACGCAAGAAGCGACGCCAAACAGGCATGTTCCTGTCGAACGGCTTTATCGCACGTGTCCTTCTTCCGTGTGGCGTTGAGTTGTCCACATTCGAGGTCATCGTCGTCGTCGTTGTCGCAGTCATCCCGTTGCGTCTGGACTTGCCGTCCAAAAACTCGAGCCCACTCTCTCTCTCTCTCACATCTCCGCCGAAGTGTGCGAGGCAGTGGAGGCCTTTGTGTGTCTGCCCGCGTTTCTGGGCAAAAATGACACTCTTTTTCCACACAGCAGAAAAAAAGACGAACGTGTCTGTTTAGCGCACAGAACGTATCCGGGAATCGGATGCCAAGCCAAGGCGAACTGGGATGCAAATCACGGAGTTAATTGATTGCAAACATTTGTGTCCGATTCTCGTCGTTCACCAACATAACCTTGAACACACAGTTTGTTTAAATTAATCAGTGAGCAGGGTCAATATCCATGTTGCCATGTTGAGAAAGGCGAGTTTGGTAAAGGAATCGGTGAGATAAGGCCATTCGTCGAAACCGAATTTCGCTGGGTGATTTAGATGATTCCTAGCAGGGAAACGCGTTATTTGATGGTGTTGTAGTTTGTGGCGCAGTGGATACCACCGGCTGGGTGTTACATTCAAGCACTTGTGCCCCTTAGATGAGCCAACTCTAGCGAGAATCGACCTCCAGCCGGCGTTGACGTCGACTGCAGCTGGCGTGGGGATGCTGCTGCACTGGAAGAAGGAGAAGATGCGCGAGTCAGAGGCGGAGGAGGAGATGAGGCAGCACCATCTCGGACGCCAACTCACCACCGCCGCCGCCGTCGCCACCTCAAAGACCTTCCTATCCTTTCCCAGCGATGGCAACAAGTACTGCGACGGCGTCGAACCAGCTGTCCTTGGAAAGCGCAAACGCTGTGCCAGCGCCAGTCAGCCACCTCTTTCCACCCGTCTATACCACTCCGGACCCCGTGGTAACGCCTTGTTTACGCATCTTCCCCTCTTCTGGTTACCGAGGCACTTGTTGACCACCTCGAAGCAACTGGGCTGTCATTGTGTCCAATGACACCCACTGTGCGGCATGTCGCGTGCGTTGTCCGACAAGCAGAGCCAGATCGTGGTTTATTTAATTCACAGAGGTCCAAAGTCTAAGCCTGGGTGGTGTGTCAGTAGTCTCTTTTGCAGTCGCCTTGTTGCAGGCAATGACGCGCGCCTTCACGCGTCTCCGTGACTCATGGCCAATGGTCTTGTTTTTTCTCTTTGTGAGTAATTCGGACAGTCATCGTCTCCTCTGCGCCCCATGGCTGTCTGGAGGCGAGGATGGAAAACACCGCTGTTTAAACTGTGCTGTTTCGTAGATGATTTTGACCGGGTAGCGATATTGGTTGAACTGCGGTTGGTTATTTGTTGGTTGTGGAAGTAGTGTAGTGAAATTGCGAATTTTTGCATCCAGACCCGCGTAATCTTCTGACATCCGCTGCTAACGCCACCCCTCACCAGATCCCGCTGTCTGATTGGTACGTTCGGGTGATGAAGGATATGCTGCCCCGTCTGCTCACAACCCTCCAACGGCTAACGGCGAGGCTGGAGGCCAACTCGGATGCTGAAGACGTGATTACCACTTGTCGAGCCATACAAGCCTGTCTAGACACTGTCAGCGCGCTGAGACGTGCGCGCCAGGAGTCCGTCAGCTCAAACCCCACCTTTTGAGCAAAATTTTGGCATTTAATCCAAGCCCTTTCCCCACCCCATCTGAATTCGATGCACCTTTGACCAACTTCTTTTATAATCGGCATTTAGTGTATGCAATTTTTTTACCACAATTTTTTATCGCTTTTAATTTATACAAAATATATACAAGTTTTGTTTTGCGTAAATAAGTGCCATTTTAACTGGTTTTAGCGTCAAATTGCAGGCTTCTTATTGGCCTGGCGTTTTTATTATGCTTGAATTCTTTAACGAGAGAGAGAATCAACAAGGACTCTCTGGATGGTATTTGAATCCCGCCGCTTTTATTCTGACATATTTAAACAAGCCTAAACCTGTGTTGGTCTGAAAATTGCCACATCCTTAAAGGCATCAATTCCAGTAAAGTGCCTGGATCTTGAGGGCATTGGTCTGTCGACTGACTCCACAACGTTCCGAGTTCGAATCAGCAGGTGGATGTGCCGAGAAAAGTTGAATTTTGGAAGGCAGCTTGTGCTGGCTCCGATTGCAGCATGTTGACTGGCGTTTGTAGTAATAGCTCCTACTTTGCGAATCGTTATGACAGCAGTATTGAATCAACTAAATAAACCCCACAAGAGTAGGAGTGCCACTTCTGCTCCCATAATCACCATCCGCCCAATTCATCAACCAGTTGGCGGATTTCTTTCTACTCGGACAAGTAAGTAGCAATTGTGCTACACACTTTGAATGAAATGCGGTAGAATTTGCCACAATGTCGAATCGGTTTATGCTGTTGAGGGAGGTTTTGGGAACCACACCACGGCCACCAATGCAGAACATGCCCCATTAATTAGCGCTGATCTTGATTGCTTGGTGCTGGGAATTCGCCATTTCAAATGACCACAGGGGCTTGCTTGTGTCTACTCATTGTGTCGCACCTCAAAAGCCAAACACAGAACTCGATCACGAATCCGATGCCGCCTTTATCATGCCTAGCACAAAATTACAATGCCATTTACACCATGACAATTGCTAAGGTCTCGCGTTTCGTCTACGACGTTACGACAGATTATGCAAAAAGATTAATTCGAATTGACAGCTTCAGTAATATACACTAGACGAAGGCAGCAAGGTTCCATGGGGTACGCAGCTACGAATTATGTTACTTCGATTTGCTGGAAGAATAAACTCACGGTTCTGTTTATGTAATTTGCATCCTACACCACAACTGTACAAGTCATACTCACAAGTTTATCAAACAACGGCAGCAGTGCCAGTATCCAGTTGGGTAGATCAAACTGCCTTTTTGAAGTGTCAAATCCTTCGCATTAAAACCTACCCGTAGCTACCTTAGATTAAGTAGTTTTTTTCATTTCGCGTCATTCCGTCCATCCACAGTAACCGTACAAATCATCATCATCTTCTTCTTCTTTACATTAAGCACTAGCGCCCAATATTTGGTCAACACGCTCACTGTAATTAACGAATTCATGCCTTTTGGTGTCAACACTAGGCAGAGGTTTCCCAATCTCCCCAATCAAAAGACTAAATAAGACCACGCCTGTTTCACGCATATGGTTGCATTTAACAAAATAAGTAGAACTCACTTATTTGATTGCCACATTAACAAAGACTGACTCGTTAATTGTCGACACTAACTGATGACTGCTAATTTCCGTAACCAAAGAAGCTATTTACAGATAAGCACTCAATATGTAAATGCACATGCACTGCACAAATTAAATCCATATCAAGCAATTTCGTTTGCCACTTTCTAATAACCTGTCAACAAATTTAGAGTCACGAAGTTATTTCTCGCATGTGGATGAGGTCGACTTTTTTGGGTGTTGGTATATTTAAACATATTTCAAAAAGCGTTTAGAAATTTTGAAATAATCAACAAGGTTTTATCAGGTATTTTAATTAATTTTATAACAAAATAATTTTAATGCTTCTCTCTCTATGCTGGTATTTCATTATTTTCCTCATACCATCGGACATCTTAGCTTAGCTGGCTTCAATATTGTTTAGTTTAGCAACACAAATGAGCTGTGGTTACTCACAATAGCAAAAAAAATTATGACCTATTCCAGGTTTGTTGAAATATGCTTGGGAAATTTTCCAACTGTCAGAACACGTGTCTTGAAAGGAAAAAATATCTTCGTTGTGAATGGTTGGTGGATGCAAACCAATTGACTTATGGCAGGCAGATTTTTGTATAAAATGGGATAGTAGCAATTGTTTAAGCGTTAAGACTCGTGGTTGTGGAATTTGTGAATAAGTATCGGTGCCTCGATTCGCGGTATGAATGCCAAGCAAATACTACCGAAATGACAAAATTAATGTCATGCGATCAATAAAAGTGGCTAGGGTAAATAATTTAATTCCCAACGAAAAAAATTGAATCAACAACTAAGTGTTTTGAAACTATTTAAAAGACTGCAACGTCATAATTTGACTAAAACATTTGTTAAAATAATCAAAATACACAAGGATTCGACCTCACACTCACACGCGCAGTAATTGAATCCCTTTGAATTTGGTACTGGATTTGTTTCCAATCAGGAGTGGCGTATTTCAAACCGTAATTTGAATACACCAAACCAGCTATACCTTAATGCATTTGCTGAGTTTGAATAAATTTTTAGCCTTTGCTTTGTGGTAGCACCTAAGCCAATGAGCAAAGAAAAAATATGTGGTGGTTGATATTGTTGAATCCGACAAGTCTCGTTCAATGTCATCTACCATATTTAGCCAACAAACAAGGGCTAACACAGACATTTATCGTGTTCATTGCTAACGATCCCCAAAGACTCCAACTAAACATGAGCATAAAGCATTTTGGACTCTAATGTTGCCCCAAATGGCTGAACAATAGGCGATTTTTAATATTTTCGGGTTACGAAACTAGTGCTTACTTTGTACACCTCAACAGATTTTGTTGTTAGTCTGAAACCAGCAAAGTCTGAACCCTTGTATGCATAAAGTAGCGTAGAAATATCAATGTACGCTGTTCTTTTTATCCACGCCAATTAATGATTATCACGTAGGTTCTTTGTTTAAGCCTTCTCACCTTAATTTTCACACTAGATTTAGTGTCTCACTTCTCTACACCTCATTTGCAGATCGTCACCATCGTTAAATGCAAGATTAGGTGCACGCATGTGTTTAATCTGATTCAAAGACGCGACTCAGCTGCCTCGCGTTTGCAATTTTAAAATCTGCTGTTCCAAGTCAAATATCGTTATTCGCAAGGAGGCCGTTTTGATATTTTTCAAGCATGCGGGTGGTAGAACAATGTCAATATTTGATTAGAGAGTACTCCTAATATTAGAACATTAAGTATTCATAAGCTACTCAAGTCACATGCTCAATTCTGTGGTAATTCGACCTAGTCGCTGTTAGTCTACACAATAATTCACAAATGGCAATTAAATTGGTTGTGCGACATATAATTAGCGTTGAACCACACTTGGGCTACTGAATTGTACCTGATCTAATTACGCTACTCTGCTAAGAGCGATGATGAACAAGACTAACGACGACCACACAACCGTTTACATTAGAGTCCGACCAAGTTCGTGTCTTTGTGTCAACTCTGTGGATGTGTTGTGTGCGTGTGTGAATTTCTAGATCAGAAGTGTGAAACAACGTGAGTCATAAATCTACTGACATCGAGACGTAGGTGACAATAATTCCATATGGTAGAAATCCAGGATAATCGTTCGCGTAAATGAGGCG